TTTTGTTTTTAATGTGAAAAACTAAATAAAATTTGTTAAAAAAAAAAATTAAAATCCACCATTCAGTCACACTATATTATTATTGTTGTCGTTGTTGTTTTTGCTGTTGTTGGTATTATTCACAAAAAACAACAGTGTACACAGGAAACGAGATAACTATGCTGGGTTTTGTATCTCAAATCACTAGTTGAACACTTCCCAAGTCTTTAGGATTGTGTGATCTATCGGCGGATTATGCGAGTGGATCCCAGTAGATTGGCCTTCTGCAGCTGATGACTTCTTCTTCTTCTTCTTCTTCTTCTTCTTCTTCTTCTTCTTCTTCTCCTTCTCCTTCTCCTTCTCCTTCTCCTTCTCCTTCTCCTTCTTCTTCTTCTTCTTCTTCTTCTTCTTCATTATTCTAAATTCAGGCTTGCCTAAGCCACATAATACTTATGGGAATGTGTTTTTCAGATCCAATAAGAAAATTGAATATAGCCGGATCACCAGTCATTGCTTTTGCCTTTACATATCTGGTTTTCAGGTGTATCTTTCTTCTGTCTATCCAGAAACGTCCTTAAAGAAACAATTAAAGAGAAAAATAGTGAGACCTCAGACTGGATAAAGCCCTGTTGACAATGTTCAAACCAAATACGGCATACTTGAGGAATACACAAACTCTTAACATTTAAATGAAAGATGTATTGATCTCCGTTTCTCAAAATGGACTCAAAAGGCATTTTCAATCACAAGACTCTTCTCTGCATTTACAAACAGTGTACAGAGCAGAAGAAGCCTTAATAATAACCTCTTATGCTGAAACACACACCTGCAATTGTCTCCAGAGTTTTAAGAATGCAGGTTGCAGATAACCATGTAGCTATTTGAAATCTTATTTATTTTTTGGCTTCGTTAGCATGCATGTCACACTGGAAATCTGAATTTTAATGTTTGTTCAGCATTAAAAATAATTCAAAGTTGCCAAGAGGAGAGGGGGGAAAAAAGGATATGAGGCCAGTGGTAGCCAATGCTAAACATATAAATTCAGCCAGCAAAAAATGAGATTATTTGGTGATGTTTTCAGTGTTTACAACTTTTAGATGCGGCATCTTGTGAATTAAAATTTGCTTTTTAAGAGTGAAACTTATAAGTGCATTGCCACTTAATATTGAGGCTGTTCCTCATCAACAGGATTTTCACAGTATAGAATTGCAAAAACTAAGTATCTCCAGGCAAGAGTTACCGTTTTACAGGAGGCATTCCATCTGTTCCTTTTGAAGTTTGATGAGAACGGATCTGTTTAATCAAAAAAAAGAGGTGTGATTGTGAGGGATAAATGTAAAGATTTTTCACAGTGAGGAAAAAGAATCAATGACTGACACAGAGAACAATGTTTTCCCCCCCTCTGCTTCTCAGTAAGAAGCTTTTCTTTTTTCTCTATCTTCTGCTTATAAAAGGTGTGGGGTCTCCAACATGGTCATGGTAAACCTCGTAAGAAGGTCTTATGGACCAAATCAAGCCTACCAGCCAGAGGTTCCCTCTCAGAATTTAAGATGGAATGAATCCAAACTTAATACACCCATTTAGTCATGATTTGTCCGCTTCACCAAAAATTTTAAAAAATCAGTCCCACCCTTTTTTTGAGGTTGAATATATTATATTAAATCCTGGCTGCAGTAATGCGGTTTCTGAGTTACAGTGTTCAAGGAAATGCTAAGGATTCACTAAAGCAGTATATAAATTGAGAGTTTGGAGAAATTTATCTTTTCATTACTGGACTTTGAGATATAGTGGGTAAATAAATTAATATAAGGATCTCTAGAAAAATATTTTAACTTACCTCAATCAAACAAATTATTAAAATAACAACCACCATCACTGTTGTCACTCAAACAGCCAATCGCCAATTGATGCTACTCCCATATTGCCGAATTCCCTGCTTTGGTATCTGCAAGGTTAAACAAAGAGAAGTAAAGTGGAAGGTGGGCCTTCACGTATTTGAATGTAAAAGCTCTTTTCCCCAGAAAAAAAGTATATTCAGGCCAACCTACCCTTTAAAAGGAACAACAGCTTTATCAATCCTGTTTTCCTAAAATCATCATATCTGAAATTTCTGGTTTAATTCTGATGGACCTCATTCTGTTTTTCTTTGTTTTCATGTTTCAGTTACTTTACCTTTGTGCTATACTCCAGTCTCCCCAAATGCTGATCAGAGTTTGTAAAACCTTACATATATACACACGTCCGCTTATCCTTGTATATAGGGATGGGAATCAGGCAAAGAAATAGTCTTGGCACATGCACATTACTATAAACTACCTAACAAGGCTTTTACTCAAAAAAAGTAATTGTCCTTACAAAAATGAATGTGCACTTAATTCACATCAACTTAACCTCTTGGAATAAAAAAGAATCTAGGTAACCAAATCTTGTAATACTTTGATAGTGCACCTGTTTGAATTATTTACCTCGTCAGAAGGTTTCTTCATTTTTCTGGCACTTGCTGTAGTTATATTGGTTTCATTTTTAGTCAAGAACACGTAGGATTTCAACAAATCAGAAGCTTCCTTCATGTTTTTTCTCTTATTGAAGAGTTTTATTCCAAGACCCATTCTAGAGATGAGAAAAGCAAAAGAATTTTGGGTAGCCAGTTCTCTACAGTTCACTTTTATGATACGGATCAAGTGGGCAATCAGGTTCCTCATAGGTGCATTAAGAATCAGGTGTGCCAACTGTTTTTGCACCTTAGCTTCAAAGGCATCTCCCTGAAGAAAACAGTTATCAGTGCTTGACAAAACGTCAGTAATCAGGGGAGCAAAGGTGGTTTCTTCCTGATCCTCCCAATCTGCTTCATCAGACAATGTTTTATCAGGCAACAGTTCATTCAATGTTTCAGACTCCTCAGTAGGTATTCTGGAGTTGCTTCCTCCAATTATTAAGTGTCTGAAAAGGTTTTCTTTTGATTCCTGTTCCTTCTCAAGTTCCTTCTCCAAAAGTTCATCCTTAATTTGTTCATTATGACTATTTTTCTTCTCTGCTTGCTCACTGATAATGTGTTTTACATGGTTGGGGCTTGCTGATTTCTTGCCAGATTTAAGAAGAAAGACCAGTTTACCATGCTGTTCCTCACCACCATTATGCACTACAACAGAAGATGTCAAAGGAGGCAGCTGAGTTGGAAGATGTAAAATGGAGCGCTTCCTTAAGGAGTGACCAGATGCTTGAGCAAGCCTCTTAAGGGAAGAAACCCGCTGAGCATCTAGTAGTGCTACAGGCTTCCCTGTTTTTTCCCTTTCATTTCTCCCAACCTCAAGATCTTCCTGTATTTTTCTTGGGTGCCATTTTAACCTTTCTGTTGGCGCTTACTTTTGAATCTCCAACTCATAGGTTTTCAACCTGTTTCCTTGTATTTCTTCTTTGAGGGTCACCTTTGTCCACCTCTCAACCTTGAGAGCTTCTGAAGTTTCTGTAGACCCTTCCTTTTGAATTTCCAATTCATGAGTTTTCAATCGGTTTCTTTGTATGTTTTCTTTGAGGGTCATCTTTGTCCACCTCTCAATCTTCAGAGCTTCTGAAATATCTGTAGCTACTTTCTTTTGACTCTCCAACTCATGACTTTTCACTTTGTGTCGATTATTCTTCAGTGCTTCTGAAATTTCTGTCGACCCTTCCTTTTGAAACTTTAACTTATGAGTTTTCTCTTTCTTTCCTGTTATTTTTTCTTTGAGAGTCAGCTTCAGCCACCTCTTAACATTCAGAGCTTCTGAAATTTCTGTAGGAGCTTCTTTTTGAATCTCCAACTCAGGAGTTTTCTTATTTGTTTGAGAGTCTTTCTTATTTTTTCTTTGAGAGTCACCTTTGGCCACCTATGTTAAACACTTGCAACCCAGTCCTAATTCTATGTACTCAGAAGTAAGCCTCATTGAGTTTAATATGCTCCCAAGTGATTCTAAGAGATTCCAGGGAGCTTGCAAAATTTTTAAAAACTCAGCATCCTGGCATATTTCATTTGTATTATTATTATTATTAAGACTCAGTAATTCAGGCTTTTCTAAGCCACATCTGTAATACTTTTGGAAATGTGGGGCCATGCTTTTCAGAACCAATAAGAGAACTAAGTAGCAGATTACCAGTGGTTGCTTCTGCATTTTGCATTTTCAAGTGTACCTCTCTCCATCCTATCCAGAAGTGTCCTTAAACAAACAATTAAAAAGAAAAATAGTGAGATGTTAGCCTGGATAAAACCCTTTGGCAATGTGCAAACAAAATATGGCATAAATTTCTTTGGAGTACATAAGCTCTTACCATTTAAATGAAAGATGTATTTATTTTCATTTCTCAAAATGGACTTAAAAGATCTTTTCAGTCACCAGACTCTTCTGTGCAGGTACAAGTATTGTGCAGGCAGTAGAAGGCTTAATTGCCTCTTATGCTGAAACACACACCTGCAATTGTCTCCAAAGATTAAGACTGCATATTGCAGGCAATCCTGTATTTATTTGGGCCTTTACTTATTTTTGGCTTGGTTAGCATACACGCCCACCTGGCAATCTGAAATGTAGTGTTTGTTCAGCACTGAAAATAGCTTAAAGTTGCCAAGATGAGAGGGAAACACCACCAGCTGGGGAATGTAACAGGAACTCAATGCTCTACATACAAATTCATCCAGCAAAAAGCAGATTATTCAGCAATGTTTTCGGTGTTTTCAACTTTTACTTGCAGCATCCTCTGCTTTTTAAACTTGCTTTTTAAAAGTGAAACTCACAGGTGCATTTCCCAACAATCTTGAAATTGGTCCTCATAAAGAGGATTTTCAGAGCAGAGTGTTGCAAATAATTAAGCATCTCCAGGCAAGAGTTACCATTTTTCCAGAGGGGTCCCTTCCATTCCTTTGGCAGTTTGATGAGAATAGATCTGTTTAATCCAAAAAGAGAGGCATAATTGTGAGGCATAAATGTAAAGATTTTACATAGTGAGGAAAAAGAATCAATGACTGTCTAGAGAACAATGGCTTTTTCTCTGTTTCTCAATAAGAAACTCTTCCTTTTCTCCAACTTCTGTGTGTAAAAAGATCTGTGGTCTCCAACATGGTTTGATAAGCCTCGTCAGATGGTCTTACGGACCAAATCAAGCCTATGAGCCAGATGTTCCCTATTGGACTTGGGAGTAGAATGACTCCAAATCTATACACCCGTTTAATTATCTCTATTTGACCCTCTCACCAATACTTTTACAAAAACAGTCCCATCCTTTCTTGTGATTTTGCTATATCATTGTCGCATCTGCTCTGGTCTTTAAGGTTGAATATATTATATTAAATCCCACTGCACTAATGTGGTCTCCCTTAAATACTAAGGAAATGTTAGCTCTTCACCAAAGCAATATATTAAGAGTTGGAAAAGTTTACTTTTTCATTACTGGGCTTTGAGATACAGTGGGTTAATAAATATAAGGTTCTTTAGTAAAATATTTTAGCTTACCTTAATTATAAAGGGTACTGCAATAATAATCGTTATAAATATTGTCACTGAAAGAGCCAATAGGATGTAAATAAATTTGCCATTCCTGCCAATTTTTTGTAGCATTCTCTGCTTTGCTATCTGTAAGGTTAAACAAAGAGAAGCAAAATGGAAGATAGGTTTTCATGTATTGCAACTTTTCTTCATCCTGACTAGTAATATAGAAGGCAACTTGTACTCATCAGTATATATTGGACCGTTCTGTAACAGCTTAGATCTCAGATAATGTTAATATAGAATTTGCTTAATTTGAATGTCTTAGCCCATATCACCACACCTATAAAATTTAGCAACACCTATAATCTAAACCAGTGGTCACCAAACGGTGGACCAGGGCCCACTGGTGGTCTGTAGAGAAATGTCACCCTCAGAGCACCCTCCAAAGCAATTAATCCAGGCTGCATAGAAACACAAGGCTGCACCTCCCATATGGCCCAAGGGGAACCCTCCCTGCCCATTCACTCCTTACCTGGCAAACTTGCTTGCTAAATTGCTATATTTCCATTCCCCACACCCCCGACCATCAGGTGTTCTGCTGTGCTGAGAGGTTTAGATTAGCTAGGAACAGGAAATGGTTGGATTTCTTGCTTTCTAGCTAGTCTTTAGATCTTCGGCTCTGCTTTTAAGCCCAGCCAAACCTCTCTTAGGACTAAAGGTTCTATTATTCAGTGCAGACTCCCGGCAAGCAAATTTTATGTGACAGACTAAGGTAGCTGATGGCAGATAGATCACTGAATGATTCTGTGAGCAACTCAATCTGCTTTGCCTGATTTTGGGTAAAAGTTGCTCTTTCTTTATACAAAAACTCAATATTTATATAAATATTTATAATATTTACATACAAGCCATGCCCAACCAGTCACATGACCCCCAAGCCAGACTAATAAATTAGGCCACGCCCACAGAACTGGTTAGTGGTCCCTGGGATTTAAAATTATGAGTTTGGGGGTCCTTGAGGTCCAAAAAGTTGGCGACCCCTGATTTGAGAGACTATACATGCTTTCAGCAGAGAGTAGTAAGCACCTTTTAATGTGGAGTAGCAGTGCACCAGTATGTTCTTGCATCTGGTGAGACAACTGACTTGCTGATTGTAACAGAGCAACTCGTGAGTATGATTAGGTCTGTTAAAATTCCTTAAAATAGTAAGTAGGGAGTCTGGACATTTCTGTTCAGTGTACAACTCTTGCCATCCTCTGCTAGGCTAGATGATTGAAAGTATGAGAAAGTTAAGGTCATCTCCAATTCTGCTCACCTTTTAGTTGTGTGAGAAGCATTAATAAAGTATCCTTTTTATGACTCAAATCTCATGTTGAAAGATAGATTATGTCCTTGAAGTAAGGGAGTGCAGTACCAGGCATATGCCTTTGAACTGCTGGGAATTATCACACTCTTTTGGAATGTCTTTGAAATGCCAGATACCGGGTAAGAAAGTGTCTGTTATGTGCTGGGTACCAAAAAGATAATAAAATGTAACTTGTATCCTGAAAGATGTATTGTAAATCAAGCCATTTGTATACCGGGGAGGAGGGGGTAGTTTTAGAGTATAAGAGTAGAGCAAAAGCTATGTTTTTCATTCCTCCCAGCTGCCTAGGGTGGAACCCATCTGCAGATGTATATCCAATAAAGCCTTTTTTCCTTGGATCAACTTTGAATAAGGGAATAAGGATGTGTAAGATGACTGTGGAGGATGAAAGGGCAATTTCGGATGAGGTCTGGGCAGGAGGAGAGAAGGCAGGGCGAATGAACATTCAGCCGATTAAGATTCAAGTGCAGCCTGGGGTGACAAAGCTTTGGACCCCACAATATTCAATGAGCAGGAAGGGAAGAGAAGGGCTGAAACCAGTGATAGACAGATTGTTGAAACAGGGCATGTTGGAGCCTATTATGTCACCTTTCAATTCCCCAATATTGGCGGTATTGAAGAAGGATGGGAAGTATAGATTAGTTAATGATTTGAGGAGGATCTCCTGATCCCTATACTATCTTGGGACGAATTCCTCCCAAAGACAAATGGTTTACTGTGATAGATCTGAAGGATGCCTTCTGGGCATGCCCCCTTGAGGAGGGAAGTAGAGACCTGTTTGCATTTGAATGGAATGATCCTGAGACTGGGAGAAAACAGCAATTAAGGTGGACAGTACTTCCCCAGGGCTATACTGAGAGCCCTTTGTTGTTTGGACAGGCTTTGGAAGAAAAGTCAGTGTCTTTTGAAAAAGGGAAAGGGATCATGTTGATTCAGTATGTGGATGACTTGTTGACTGGAGAGAAAGAGAAAGAGGTTAGAGCAGCATCTGTGGCTTTGCTAAATTGGCTGAAAGAGCAAGGATTGACAGTTTCAAGGGAAAAGATCCAGTTTGTAGAAAGGAAGGTGAAATATTTGGGGCATTATATTCAGCAGGGGCTGAGGTCCTTGGATCCTGAGAGGGTGGAAGGGATCATGAGCTTGGCTCCCCCCAGAAATAAGACAGAAGTCAGAAAAGCCCTTGGATTGTTGGGGTATTGCAAAGTCTGGGTGGTCCAGTACACTGTGTTAGCTCAATTCCTGCACAGGAAGCTGGTAGGAAAAGGAGAAAGTATAGAATGGTTAGAGGGAGATGACGAAAAATGGGAAGGTTTAAAGAAGGCATCCGCACCGGTTTTGGCTTTGCCCAATTTGAAGCTCCCATTTCATCTGTATGTGTCAGCAACCCAGGGAACCGCACTAGGAGTGTTGGCGCAGAAGAGGGGGGCGCAATACCAGCCCATCGCCTTTCTGAGCAAAACTCTGGAGCCAGTGGTGAGAGGATGGCCGGTGTGTGTGCAGGCTGTGGCTGCTACAGCTATGTTGGTGATAGAGAGCAAGAAGTTAACCTTTGGGGGAGCCCTTGTGGTGCATCCTCCTCATCAGGTCACTTCTGTGCTAAGTCAGTTGGCAACAACTTGGATGACAGAGGGGCGGATTCTCAAATGTGAGACCATTTTGAGACCCAGCCCTGATGTAGTGTTTGGGACAGACA